AGCACCAGAGTAGCACCCGAGTAGCACCCAGGTAGCGCCCGAGTAGCACCAGAGTATTACCCAAGTAACACCAGAGTAGCACCCGAGTAGCGCCCGAGTAGCACTCGAGTAGCACCAGAGTAGCAACAGAGTAGCAGCAGAGTAGCACCCGAGTAGCACCCGAGTAGCACTCGAGTAGCGCCAGAATAGCAGCAGAGTAGCACCAGAGTATAACCCAAGTAGCGCCCGAGTAGCACCAGAGTATTACCCAAGTAACACCAGAGTAGCACTCGAGTAGCACCAGAGTAGCAACAGAGTAGCACCCGAGTAGCACTCGAGTAGCAACCGAGTAGCACCCGAGTAGCACCCGAGTAGCACCAGGACTGTAATAGTATTTGAACTAAATCTGTAACTGAGAGTCCCTAATTAATACCTGGTTCGGGGACCTGAGTCCGGGTAGTGTTTTGTATAATTCATTACTAGTTAAATAGATATTGGAATTTAATTGGTTTCCGAACAGATCACATGTAATTGTGAATACGTGCTTCAAAGCCTTATTAATAATGTTAATTCTAAATTCTGTATTTCAGCAAGTTGCAGCACTTTGGACCCACAGCTGAAGATCGAGTTGATGGAAGTTGAACTACCGGTGGATCATGGAACAGAAGTAACCTACCGATGTCCATCAAAACACATCAACATAGCGGCCACGAATTCTAATAACGCAGTAATATGCTTATTTGGAAATCTTGTCTTTCCGGATGAACCTCGTGTATTAAAATGGGTACGGATATATAGATACATTTTATTGGTCGATTCTCACCATTATCTTGTTTTAACAATATCAACTTTTAGTTTAAACACAGCACGCAGTTCGAAAGTTGGAGTGGGTAAAAAAGGAACCTGGAACATACCATTATTTAGGTGGCGTTAATAATTAACGTCACCTGTCACATAGCAGTTAATTGACATGAATAATAGGTCTAAATGGATAAGTCGATCATTCTGTTTATAAGTTTATAATTGATCTCTAAGATTAAAAAGTAGGATTAATACCCATTTTCCAAGCTTTTTGAACGGTGAATGCAGTCGAGATGACTATACACAGTTGATGTTAAAGAACAAAGACAGTACAGCAACATGTTTGTTTATTTAAGCGTGCCGGCAATTTGAACGGTACTTCCTCACCGCTACAGGTTAGAGATACTGCGGGTTAGATACTGGTTACCACACCTTTTCCTTTAAGAGATTTGCAGCAGTTCTACAGGCCACCACATTTCATGTCTATCCCAATTGTACCTTATTTCTTACATTCTTTGTAATCTTATCGTGAGGAGGCTCTGTTAACTAGCTCAGTGTCGTTTGTGACCAGATTATTTGGTACCGCGACAATTGACCCCCTATGTAATTACACTGGGGGGGGGGGGGGGGGGGGGGGGTTAGGGTTAGGGTTAGGGTTAGGGTTAGGGTTAGGGTTAGGGTTAGGGTTAGCGTTAGGGTTAGGGTTAGGGTCAGGGTTAGGGTTAGGGTTAGGGTTAGGGTTAGGGTTAGGGTTAGATTAGGGTTAGGGTTAGGGTTAGGGTTAGGGTTAGGGTTAGGGTTAGGGTTAGGGTTAGAGTTGGGGTTAGGGTTAGGGTAAGGGTCGGGGGTCAATTGTCGGGGGTCAATTTTCTGGGGTCAATTGTCGCCCACCCGATTATTTGTCTTAAAAAACTTTTGTTAATGGGTATAACGTTAGTAATTTAAGAAATAAATCAAAGAGTTGAAATTTGTTAACAAACGATTCACCCCTTTAATCTATAACATATCCTGAAGTAAGGAAGCTCACGTAAAGATGAAGATAGTGTTCATTGCAGCCTGCATCGCAGCAACATCAGCTCTTATGTGCAAAAGATGTGTGGATTCCGATAACTCAGATTTTGATGATGTAGTTTCTCAATATAGTGAGTTTAATAAAGATATAGACGTTAAAAAGTGTCCAATACGATTAATCTTATTATATGAAATAGGAGGGCAAACATTGAGAATGAAATGTTTCAGATTTAGACATTGAACAGTGCAGCACGGGTTCTGATCAATGGGTTTCTTGTGGTACTGGATACGATCAGTGCTTCGAGTCCCTTGCTGAGTATGAACTTCAAATTATTAATACTTTAAAACATTTACAATGAGGAATAGAAGTAAAATGGAGATAACTAATGTTTACTAATTAATTAAAAGCCGAAATGATAAATAAAAACGAAATAAGTAATAACTATCACTCTCAGCGTGGAATGGAACCAGAAGGACGTTAAGATAATCTCATACGGCTGTAGTGATGGTAAGGACGAGTGGACACCCTCTGGTTGGGATTGTGACGCCCTTAAGGAGAACCTTGAGAACACTCTAGCTACTGGAGAGGACAACGAGTACAAGTTCGCTGATTGTAAGTTTAGTTATGGAAAGTAGCACTGTAGCAGTTCCAATATTGTTTGATATTTAATTCCAGTGTTAATCAGCAATGATTAGATGATTTTGATATCCATTTACAAGTATTGTTGGTTTCTCCCACCAATTAGTTAATTAATTTGTTAATTTCCCAGGCATTGACAAAAAGTGTATGACCGACAAATGTACTAAATTCAGCGGCTCAACAACGGCCATCGTTTCTGGAGCCCTTCTCATTCTTTGTGCCCTCTTCAGTCTGTAAACTGAAAAAACTGCTTTTTGGCAGAGAACTTTTGTTTGACTCTTTTTGATGTGACTCTGCATTTTCAAGTTGCATATTAAAAATTAAAGGGATTCTATACCTGAGGTTATTGTACGTTTTGTGAAAGTGTGAATATGCGTTTGAAGAATTAAGTTTACATTATTTTAGTTTCAAAGAAGTAAGCTGTCATTAAAACTGTCCATGCCAATTTTGTATAATATGTATTTGTAACTAGGAATTGTTTTCTAAAAATTTCAATGACCAGAGAAAGAAAATTATTTCTTGTTCCCTATCTTAGAAAAGTGATACGGCTAAGCTAGGTACTACAATCAAAGTTTCAAATCATGCACTTTTTTGTCACCAATTCCTTAAACCTTAAAGCCCTATAAGAACTTAGGGGATAGATTAGATCAAATATCAAAGTTAGGGATCGTTCACATCTAACTTGCAAGTCTCCGCTCAGGAACCAGCAGAGAATGACAACTTTTAATATATTATGCTGGATAGAATTTTTTAAAGAGATCAAAACGATTGACCAGAATTAACAACCAAAAATTTCGCGGTTTTGACTGAACTTCTTACCAGTGACCAATCAGTGAGGTCGGTGAGAGTGACACAAGTCGCCATCAAGGTACTGGAAGCAGCATATCCGGAGAAAACTTTGATGCAATGACAATTTTTAATATGTCCTACCGGTAGGACATATTCGAATTTCAGCCTTCCGCGACCCAAATTTCGCTGTTTTTAATGAATTATTCTTGAATGGCCATCTTACAAGGTCACTGAGGATGGCACAATACACGATTGAGCTATTTAGGTATTTAAAGGTATTTAAAGTTTTGTTCCTAAAGAAAGGTTTGATAACGGAAAATCATCAGAATATTAAAAGAGATTTTGGAAGATTTTTGAAGAGGAGCTTTTCTGCCGTCCCCTTGCCCGAAATTTCGCGGTTTTGACTGAACTTTTTAACAGTGACCAATCAGTGAGGTCGGTGAGAGTGACACAAGTCGCCATCAAGGTACTCGAAGCAGTATGTCCAGAGAAAACTTTGATGCAATGAAAATGTTGACCCAAATTTCGCTGTTTTTACTGAATTTTTCTTGGATTACCATCTTACAAGGTCACTGAGGATGGTACAAGACACGATTGAGGTATTCAAAGTGTCTTTAAACATGAACTTTGAAGATGTTTTAAAAAGTGAAAGGTCAGTCATACTGCAGTATTATCCATCGCCACTGAATGCTGCGGGAATTTCTACCGGCGTCAAATGATATGGCTGTGGGAAATATTTGTTTTCTTATGAGGTTTACTAATATCTAAATAACGATAACCTCTTGTTGTTTTTGTAGAATCTTTCGAAATTTGTTTATGATCACAGGGGTAGCAGGTACGTTTCACCACTGCAGACGAGTTCGTAACTGTAGTAACTGTAGTAACGAAATAGGAATCATAGATCAGTTTAAAAGTTAATAAAATATGATTTAAATTGAAACAATATTATTATGATTTGAAATTCAAATAACAAACGTCGAACTATTGAGTTGTGACTTGTGTTAGAACCTGTATTTAAGGGGATTGTAGTTTTTACTTGAATGTTCCACTTATCTCCAACGTACACCTGGAAAAGACAACAATTTTATTTTTAACGTCATCATTATATTATATTTCTATGCTTACGAACTGACAACAGCTAGAGCTATATTTACATTCAAAAAACTAAGGTAATTGGAAAAATTTGAAATGAGAGAAACACAAAGCGATTGACCGCGAGGGTGAAATTTCTATTATTTCCCAGCATCACTTATATTTCATCAGGTTTGGACACGGTTTTTTTTTCGTTGTGCAGCAATTTGGATCACTGAGAGATTCAATGATTGAATTTTCTTTGCCATGGTACCCCTCGACTCGGTTCTGATTAAATGGTATCTCTAATTTTTATTAAATTATGATAAAGCCACCTTTAAGAAACTTCACAGGTAAGTGCTAATGAAAAATCAGTCGAAAGCTTCAAGTTTTGGTTTGGCACGTCAGCAATGGAGGTCGTCATGGCGGCGTTAGATCATTGATTATTAACACGGCTACTAGTACTACTAATTTGTGTTCATTTCAAACAAATTCATTTTAGGTTTTTGCTACATTTTAATTTACAAAGTTTGCTACTGGTCTTTTTTATTTTCAGACACGGCATTGATCGACATTCGACAAACAAGCTTACAATCAAATTGCTTCTTCAAATATCTTTTTCCATTTGTATACGCTTATCTATTTGTGGCTTTTCATTTCAACATTATCTAACTAAACGAAGAAGAATGTAATTCATTTTGACAGGATTTGTTATGAAAATCTCAGTGTGTATAATCATCTGCTTGGCTCTAGCAGTAGAGATTGTAGCTGATTCGCTTGATACGGTAGGTTAACACTTAACATTCTAAGATCATATAGCAATAAGCAACGAACCTCAAATAAATTATTCAAATAGTCTGCGAGCGGCTAAGCCAACCTTACTTTGATAGCAATTAAATAAATTGAGATTTGGAAGTAATAACTGTCACAATAACCCGATTCTAAGATTACTATTTTTACAGGAATTGGATTTCAAAGAGATAGCAACAGAAGATTTGAAAGATCTTCTATTCACTTCAATGCAGAGCATCATCTCTCTGAATGACCTGGTGACTGGACTTTCAAAGCAGATGGCTGAACTGACCATATCATCCGCACAAACCACAGCGAAGATGGAGATATCCACCGCAGAGACGAGCATCGCTACAGCATCACTGTCCAGAGAGTTGGAAGACTTGAAGAAGAAGATCTCCACGATGAACGAAAACTTTACAGATCTAGAAAGCAGGTGCACTGAAGCCTCTAAGAAGGATAAAGGCCCATGGAAGTGTTACAACTACACAGAATCTGACAGAGAATGGAGAGCGAATCATGAAGCGACAGAGGCAGAGATGTGTGAGCGAGTGACAGGAGGAAAGTTCACTAGAGGAAAGAACGATATAGTTCCTGATTGTGGGACATGTTGGTGCTGTCAGGATCAGTCAGCTTTGATCCCGGTGAATGGAGGCTGGGGAGTGACTGGGGCGAGTGTTCTGCAGAGTGTGATGGAGGAGTACAGACCCGGGAGAGGAGCTGTACAGACCCAGCACCAGCACACGGGGGAGTAGAGTGCAGTGGAGAGGGAGAGGAATCCAGGGATTGTAATTCAGAACAATGTCCTGATTACACCATGTACATTCTCTGTGATGACGTGCTGACTATCTATGTAGACGGTGCTGAGAGAGGAGCGGCTGGGTTGAGTACTTGGAACGTAATGTCTACCTTGAACATTCCAGCTTCTAGCGAGCTCATTGCTGTCAAATGCATCGATCAATATGGAGGAGGATATGGATTTTATGGAATCATAGGTTCGGTTCAAGATGCTAAAGGAGGTGATATCCTGGCGACAGACAGCTCCTGGAAATGTTCTAATACCTGGGAAAGTGGATGGAATCTTGCTGGTTTTAAAGAAGGTAACACCTGGAGAGCAGCCACAGATCTTGGTGATGGTCATTTCATGATGGACCAGAACGGAGGCTGGAAGGATGTACCCTCGCCCAACAAGAGAGCTATCTGGACTGATAGCAGCTCAGATACTACTGTTTATTGTCGTAAGACTATTAAATAGTCTCACTAGTCACTACATCGCAACACAGCTAAAACCTACAGTAATGACAAACAAACAACGCAACTCAATTGTAGCATAAACACTATTCGATTAAAAGTAAAGCTGGAGTTGTTGAATGAACATTGGCATCGTAATAAAATTCAATCAAAATGAACAATTTTCTAAATATGGTGTATTTTTCTCCGTATTCATTGGTATTTTTAGAAACATTTTTATAGTTCATCGTGTGATTTAGATGTACGATCGGTTTTAGAAATCTTAGAAGTTTTAGAAATTTTAGAAATTAAAATGGATGTGGCTGGTGCAAAGCTAATGCATAATGAAACTGAAACGTCATGATGATGACGCGATACATTCATAAATTCTTAAAATTACAACTTAAAAGTTTCTTTTGCCAACGTTCAGTAAAATTGCATTTTAGGTGGGCGGAATTTTCCCGAGTTTTAAGTATTTTTGTGATGAAAAAAACGTCCCCGTCTACTTGAACGTTTCACGTTTGGTTGACGCGGAAAAATATTTGCGGTACAAAATGCTTCCTGCTTTTCATCCTATAACGCTATAAGTATAAGTATAACCCATTAATCATTTAAATCGTAATTTTTTTAACGTGAATGGTGAAAAAAAAGAAAGCTGATATGACAAAGAGTATTCAATATTCATTGGTATTTTTATAAATATTTATAAATATAAATTCTTAATATTACAACTTAAAAGTTTCTTTTTCCAACGTTCAGTAAAATTGAATTTTAGGTGGGCGGAATTTTCCCGAGTTTTATGTCTTTTTTTGAAAATAAAAGGTCCAATTTGTCTATTATCCTGTCCACTTGGTTGACGTGGAAAATTTTGCCGCGTCAACCAAGTGGACGGGATAATAGACAAATGGTACAAAATGCTTTCTGCTTTCATCTTATAACGAGATAAGCCATTAATAATTAAAATCGTATTTTCAACCGTGAAAAAAAGAAACCTGATACGGCAAAGAAAGGTACCAGCTACCTCTTTGCACCGTACCAGGTTTCTTTCATTTTCATGCGGTAGTTTTCATTTCTGTGGAACTAAAACAGTAGCAATCTTGAAATACAAACTAAATGTTTTATGGCTTATAGCTTCATAATTTGAAATATTGTTTCTAGTACTACTACTAGTAGTAGTACTAGAAACCATATTTCAAATCATGCACCTTTCTGACCAATCCTCTAAAATTTTTGGAATCATGTGACTGCTAGGGTACAAAATATTGGCGGTATCTTACATTTAACAAAATATTGGTGTTATGTTATCTTATTCTTAAATTTTAACAAAATGACCACTGCACTTTTAGTAATTTTTCCAGAACTTTGCTTTTAGGAGTTACTCAGTTACAGCTAGATTATTTTCATTTTTTTGGTTGGAGTATGCCGTATGCGGCTTGGCGCAAATTACTTTAAAAGGGGGAGAGGGTTGGCCATTTGCCAATGTCCAATTATAATTTCCTTTTCTTTATATCTAGCAGACATTTCATGATATCACGTTGATTGTATAATTATGTTTTTTAAACTACTGTTTTAAAAGCTCGATTTCATTTCCAAATCACCGATATTCACTGAGTATTTCCATACGTTTACTCAGTTGGCTGTAATTAACCTCTATTTAAGGTTCAAGTACACTAAGAGTTCAAGAAGTCCAAGATGAGTCATTCCGAAAATTGGTCATTTCCATGTTACTTTTTGCAAACAGTTGTTGTTATGAATATGATTGGTCCATTGAGAAACATGGGTGACATAAACACAGAAACATACAGAAACACAAGAGGCCTGTATGTGTTCTACATGAAGAACAGTACCGGATCTGAAGCGCCCTGTTACCCCATCTACGTGGGTGTCACTGGTAGATCTTTCTATGAGCGATTCTATGAGCATGCCACCACAGCGACAGGGCAGATTAGGAAGGTATGGGATGGAAACTACCCGCAGAATGTGCAGGGTTACACGCTCTACGTCTGGACGCTGAGCGCCTCCCACATCAGCGCGAAATACCTGGAATCTGTCCTTCTAGAAGTCTGGAACTTTCCCCTAAACATAAGTGAGAACGGCGCGGAGCGGACCAACCTTGATGACTCCGCTCAGGATCCACCAGAGAATGACAAACATAATTTTGATATTTCCTGGGGGAACTATTTTAATGAGATCCAAGGGATCAACCATGAGTACGTCGACTGAGTTTTGGTTTTTATAGATTCATTCGATTAACAAATAATGACATTATACTACATATATAAATATTAATTTTGAATTGATTATGAGGATTAATTGACTCATTTTTTCTTTTAACTTTTGCAAACGAAAATGTTTAACTTTAAATATTTGTATGAACGCGTTGTACATAAGTGAAATTAATCAATATTATTTTCCAGTTACTCTAAAATTTGCAATAAATGTACTTTCATTTTTCATACCGCTGCAATAATAAATGAGTGAAAAGTAATAAACTCACAGTCACACAGACATACCAAAGCGCATAAAACTTGAAATTTCTTTCTCTTGCGGCCTTTTCATTGTCCTGGTCTTTTATATGAAATTCTATTCAACCATTGTGCGTAACGTTATATTATATAACAAAACCTTGGGACCGTCTTTTGTTGAACCAGTCATGAAACATTACCAATTACACAAAAACCTAAAATTGTCAATTCAAACAATTGTCTTTCCAAACAAAGAAATGTCTTCTTACCCAATCCTGAAGCAGATAAGGGACAATATGCACTGGTGGAGCTTGATTATACATCTATAAAAAAGCCTCCCCTACAAGGGCCAGCGTTCGGAGCTTTTAAAAACATTCATCATTTTGCGTTAAGTGTATAACTTTAAGTGTAATGTTGTTCAAAACGCTGTTAGGTGTCTTGTTTGTGGCATTTGTGGGTGCTGATCACTGCCCGGCTGAGGTTAACCCATCCTCAACCGGCTCAGTTCGGGACAGACTAGTGCTTCTAAAGAGGGACCATGGAGAACACTGTATGGTAAGGATAATGTTGTTTTTAATTCCACTTTAAATTATGTTAAGATCCGGATTATTCTTGAATGGTTTGGGTACATATTGTGTCGGGGGAGGTGATGGGGAAGTGAAAGATGCATGACAGCTACTCTTGCTGATAAGTTAATGGCTGTCACGTGTCCGATAATGTGGTTCATCTCACCAGCAGTATCTAGATCTACAATACTTTAGTTTAATCACAATGCTGGCAAGCATTACCGTCGCCCTTATATTCACAATACTATTTACCCCCTATACTAGTATATCCCCTTTATTGTTTTCCAGGCTTTAAGACTCAACGAAAGTAGTTCCGCAGGCATATTTATGTTCAAATGCAATTCTAATTCAATGTTAAAGATGACAGGATAGAAATAGTTATGTGGGAAGTTTTTAACAAATTTGCGCTAATACGCGCCAGCATGTTTATACGAAATTAGGTAAAAACCCAAAATTCGCCTTATTCAGGTGCCTTAAAACCATGTTAAAACTGAGTTTGAGGATATGAAACTTTGCAGGGCGTCTAGACCTTGTCCAAATCGGACGTAAAAAAAAATTTCATGTTTCAGGAGTATCGGCAAGTGGGTTTTCTGGAAACCCTGTTTTACAAAACAGATTGTCGTGAAGTATTATATATACTTGTCGTGATGTATATATAGTATAAGACGCATTTTGCAGTCAATTATGCCTTACATTTAAGGTCGTAGATTCAAAGTATAAAAGATACAGTCATTTCGAACCGCAGGTCTTGAAGATAATTGTTTACACTCTATTCCATTATATCAAAAAATATTTAACGTTCATCATCATCATTGATGACGTCATCAAGTTAGTGTTTTTAAAACACTTTGGTTTTTTAACCAATATAACAACTTTTCAATCGATTTTTAATCCATTAAGGAGTAATTTTATTCAAAATCTGAGGACATTTTACCTTAGATAATTGTTCAAAGCATTTGAAATTCTACAGGCAAAAATTTTCTACCTTGCTTCCTCATAAAGATATCGCTACTGAAGTTAGTGCTTTTTGGAAGAATAATTTTTTAACAATACAAAAGTTGTGAATTAGTATTCTCTGATGTTGGGCCATCCCTTGGGTTGTGGAGCTCGATTGTGCTTTCTAAAGGTTCTAATTGTGTTATAGGCTAGATTTTAAAGTTTAAATTCGAAAAAAGTTGCACCCCCCCCCACGTGGGGACACGCCCAAATGATAGAATAATTGCGTAAAATTACTGTAAATTGCGTGTTTTCTTCATTTTTATCAACTTTGGAGTCCCGTTTGATCTCAAGTTTTATTGAAATCTCTGAAACTTTGCAGGCTTATTCAATTATATATTAAAATTACTGATATTGGGCAAAAAAGAAATTTAGGTGGATTCAATATTGTATGCGCACGCATCGTCGTCTCAGGTTTGCACGTGCGCAAGGTGAGAATTTTGTCATTCGTGATTTCGAACAAATTCTTGTTTTCCCGCGCGATATTTAAATGGAATTTTTTTTGATTTAATGCAACTTGAATGAGAAAAGTGCCAATTAGTCAGGTAAATTTCGAATCGATGGTAAATTTACCTTCCTAATTATTATATTCTATTTAATGAAGTTATGAGTTTACATTTCGGCTTTGTAAATTCTCCTGACATTATAATCAAAAAGAGATGATATTTGACCAAAACCTCATAATCATGGGTAGAGTGTACCGCTGCAGGTGTCTCTCTTTTCCAAACAAAAGGAAATGATATTAATTTGGAATAACAGTCCGCAAATGCAAATTGATACCGAGAATGAAATCGGACACTCTACACATGATTATGGGTTTTGGTCAAATTAAGTATGATCCGAATTTTCATTGATATCTGCTTGCTTAATTCATTTTATGTCTGCTTCATATCTGCTTACATTTATATTTGCTTACTCGCAGGATAAGAATGACCATTGCTCCGAATGTAAAGAAATGTGTACTACTGATAAGTACAGCGCGTGGCTGATGAAAAACTGTCCCTTAACCTGCGGATTCTGTGAAGACGATCACGATCATGATGGAGATGGAGAACAAGACCATGATCACGAAGACCACAAAGACCACGATCATGATGGTGATGGAGAACAAGACCACGATCACGAAGACCACAAAGACCACGATCATGATGGAGATGGAGAACAAGACCACGATCATGAAGACCATAAAGACCACGATCATGATGAAGATGGAGAACAAGACCACGATCATGAAGACATTAAGACCACGATCATGATGGAGATGGAGAACAAGACCACGATCATGAAGACCATAAAGACCACGATGACAAAGAGAAGCCTTGCATTTGGGCATTGATTGAGGATATGAAAGTTTCAGGTATCTACTAGAGTACAACTACAACTACCTTACTACCTATTACGATAATAATCTACGTTTTTTCCAATTTACTAGATTACAGTCTATAAACGGTTCGCATTACTGATTACCTTACTTTTCACCAATCAGCAATTAAAATCCTCCACAATTACCAGGTAAGTCAGTGATGACGAACGTGACGCTGAGCGCAGCAAAGATGGCGTGTCACCACGACGACCGCTGTACGGCCGTGTCCTGCAACCCGTGAGCTAAGAACTCATTATTTGTTAAAGGTCAATTTTCATGTACAATTTACAATTTACAGAGGACCTGTTAAACAAGATGCAGAGTTGTACTACTAAAGTGGCAGCTAGCTGCCTACTTGTTTTAGTAATATACGGCATGAGGCTTAGTGTTTTTCAAGATATAGGTTATGATTTCCGGGCATTATTGACACTACCTCGTGATATATATGTACCTTCTGGGAAATTTCATTGTATTTTAGGAAGGGAGCTGCTGTGTCATGAAGAAGTCCCAGAAAATGAAGCCAAGAAAAGGGTACAAAACCTACCTGAGGAACCCAGTCGCTCTACAGCAACAATTCATGAATGTACTGATGTTTCTGTTCCCAAATCTAGCGTAGAATCTATCTTATCAGTGATTTTTTGATTACCATGACCATATGTTTATTGTTGTTTTGGAATAAAAACTGGTTAGGAAAAAATTCTTTCACTAATTTTAGCATACTCTGCAGATTACTGTCTAAATTTTAAAATGTATTCTCTTGTGGATTTGGACCTCTAAATTCTAACAACTCAATAATAATTAATATGTGTTCACTTAAATACACAAATATTCAGAATTAAAAACTTTAAACAATACAGACTTACAAATTGTTTATTTGTTTACTAATTATGCGGTAATGAAACAAAAACTAGATCACAAAGTTTAACAGGGTGAAGATGTCGGCTTATCATAGTTTCATAGGCCGACATCTTCTTTAACCCTTATCAGAATAACTGTGAACGTCAATATTGTGAACAGATATAGGAACCGACCGGCTATACTACAGGTTCAGAACGTTTGGTTCCTCGACTGTTACAAACAATATCAAACGTTAAAATTTCATCAAATTTTGAAATGTGGCAAATTATTACACCTCAAATGTGTTCAATGTTTGACCTGATAAATGACGTTACGGTGTAAATATGTTGTGAATGGTAATTATGAGGTTTTATTTCACGTCAAATATAATTTTGGAGATTGTTCCAAAAATACATGCTAAAGATATTTCCATCTTTTGTAAAATTTGACAATCCAGTTTTTTTGCTATTCAGATGATATGCTGTCGAACGAGTTTATAGAACGCATGTATCTACGATCCTGACAATTCCATGTGTACTGATTGCCAATTTAAGAACAATAAGAACATGTGAAAACAGCAAGTGTCTAATGATTAATTAGAAAGATTCCCTTGGATCAACTCAACCAAACAATCAGAAATCTAATCTATAATTAATGAGATGGACATGTCAATTAATGAGGTCTATTTGGGATTTAATCATGGGATAATAGTCCATTTAAAGTGGAAAGTGAAATTGCTAGTTTGTACGGGATTCCAATTTGGCTACTCAGAGACCAGCCACTTCAATACAGTAGTCATCAAATACCTGCAAGGTTATTATGAGAACTTTACAGTGCTGTAATGTGAAGTTGTTTATTATTAATCCGCATTATTATAGGATTTCTTGATTGCACAAGGGGAATTTAATTTAGGATTAACTAATAGGCCAGTCGCCCGGTCGCAAAGTTCAATCAATGAGTTATTGAGAGGAGATGAGCCCGGTGATATGAAGAACAACCGTCATCTGATATACCCGTGATCTTCCGTTATCGCTACCCCCAACAATCATGCCCACGTGGGTTATCACGCCGCTGTCACGTGGGAGAGCACGTGCTTGCGCGGCTCACACGTGATTTCCACTGTCAAATAGAGCGGTCCCTGACTCCCAGATCAGTTAGCAGAGCTGTTGTTAAAAGTTCGCGTCACTATCTAGCTTCTTTCTCTCCCGGTCGAGAGTACTTGTAGAATTTCCTCAAGAATTTCTTGTTAAAAGTCTATCCAGCTCCCTCTTCTCTGTTTTGCTGTCTTTTCGTCTGTTAAAAGAGATGAGCTACAACTTTAACGCCGACATCGATCGAAATGGCAAGAAGAAGAGGCCAAAATGCGCCAAGTGCAGGAACCATGGGCTTTTTGTCCTGAGGTAAGATTCAAATTAGCCCTCAGTCGTTTAAATAGCTGTGTTTTAAACTGCTTACAAACGTTTAACACATCTTTATATGTTCATAAAGCCGTATTAAGTTTTAACAGAAAGTCTGCGCTTTTAAAGTGCGATTATTCAATCAATTTTAGGGTTAAAATGTTGCAAGTCCCAAGCCGGATTTAAAAATGTAATCCGAGTTTAAGGCTTTTGTTATGGAGGCCATAACATTAACTGTTACAGTTTTATTGTTTGGTTGCGCTTTGCACTCTTTTCACACGGTATAAAAACAGCATATAATCGTTATAGTGGGCTCCCATGCGAAACCGTGCAAATTTAAGGGATTAGGGGCATTTTTTCACTGAGGACATTTTATGGCCTTCTTGATTAGCCAGAAACTTTTTTTTGTCAATTTGCATTTTTTCGTCCCTTTTAAGCGTCTAAATGTCTGTGGTAAACCAGAAATCTAACAAAATTATCTGCCCTCAGATTAGGCCACAAAGGTTGTTGTGCGTACGATGACTGTGACTGCGAACTGTGCAAGCAGACCAAAACGAGGAACGATGCGATGGCTAAGACCATGGCTAATGAACGTCGTAGAAAGAAGGAATCGGTATGTATGGGAATAAGAGGAGGATATTCCGTTTCTATATTTGGTGTTGACTTTTCTGGCGGGTGAGCAGCCTCTCCAATAATAATTTAAGTGTTAAAACGATGTTTCCGCTTTCACAGTTAAATTTGACATGGATCGTCCAACTTGGAAGCTAGCACGATGACAGTTGATTGACATCCTTTGAGATAGCGATTAAAATCTTAGCAAAAACTCTTGAAGTTTTACCTACGCCAAGTACACGAAGTCACAGCTTAAAAATTGACATATAAAACCTCCAACCTTCATATGGTACCTTGAGAATTTCTTAGAATGACCCAATACCCATTTACAAACTGCAAAGGAATAACCGATGTTTAATTTACAGCATGAAGCTTCTTAATTAGTCACACAAATCTTTGAACTGTGAAGTCCTTCGAGGGCCCATTACATACAAAGTGGAAGTAATTGACCATAAGGCTGGTACAGAGGTTAAATGCAAATTTTTGATAGTTTAATGATTCCCAATAGTTTTAGGAGCTTTAACTATTCGAATTCAGCTAACGAACTTAATGTCAAATGTGTCATTTTAAGTTCTTCAAAGTCCTTACCTTAAACTTGCGGTTATTATGGCACATTCCCATATTGTAATAATTCTTGTCAGCTCAGCAACTTAATCAGAACATTAAATTAACTGCCGAACTGATTTCAATTTCTTAGAAATCCGGTTTAACAACAATTACTTACCAGCCAGTTCATTCTAAAGGAAATATTTGCCAAAATATGGTTCTATGAGCCATATGTCAAAGTTAAAATGTCAAATGAATTTGAAAATGTTCGCAATAAAACTTTTGCAAATATGGAAAGTGATAAAATTTGAAACTAGCAAAAGTAATATTGATAATTACGTGCCTTTTATACGATACTAAAACATTACTCAATCTACCTGCTTAAATACAATTTGTATTTAAATTTCGTTCCTATGGTGCATGTACTTTAGCTAACAACTCATGCGGCAAACTTCATTTTATAACGTTTTGTATACGTGAAAGTTAAGAGCTTTACCTTAAGAATATGATGATATCATGCTATCAACAGGGACGAATGACTTAAGCCTTCATTGGCCCGACACTCTACATTAACCTTTCGAGGGAATACGACATTAGTCATTAGTCTCAACAACTCGAAATAAGTTATCTGTACGCGCACAATTGCTGCCTCACATTCTGATTAACAAGGCTGCCTGTAAGATCACAAATCCTGCAGTTTGATACTCCTTTTGTAATAAGTAATCATCAACCAACATCACTGTAAAGTTATCACCGTGCCCACTTATACTAGGGAATCACTCAATCCCAGATACGGTAGCTCTTACTTGATTACTCGAATTATTAATTCAGTTCAATCTTAGATTGAGGATGCGTTTTACAGCGGTTAATGAACGTGGGTAATAGTGGGAATACAATTAGATGATTTGATTGGCCAATGTCAGAGGTCACTAGCCCACTCTTACAGTTACCCATTAAGTACCCACCAAGTAACCATATATTTACAATTAAGCTACGATTTGGTAACCACCAAGTTACCACTAAGTTACCACTAAGTAACCATTAAGTAACCACTTCACGTAACCACTTCAAGGAACCACTTCAAGTAACCACTTTGAGTAACCACTAACCACTTCACTCGCAGGGTCGAACCAGCGTGAGCTCCACAACCTCCCCCGTATCGGAGTATCCTTATCCCACATCTGAGAGAACCAGGACTTCCTTCAACTTACAGCTCGATGGATACAGTGAGTCAACAAACTTTACCTTTCAAGAAATATTTAGATATCTGACTTTCGCATTTGATCGTTTGAATCTATGATCTAAGATTTTATTCTGGATGGGCAAAAACTGTAAATTAAGACACGTTGAATGTATGCTATAAACTATAACCAGTTTCTGTAACTCAAAACATTCCGGTAAGTTAGGATGTGTTTAGTCTAGTACTCGACAATATGTCTGCTGTCTAAATCTCAATCGCATCGGCTCAATGATCTGTCCCTATTGAGAGCACAAAACTTGCCGCCGATACTTTTACCAGGAGCCGTCCTATCACTCCGATCTCCAACAATATCTTCTCCCATTAATCATGACATCTCTCTCCCACAACTAACGTTTACAGCTAAACCCTACGTCAAATTAACCCTGAAATTTATGTTTAGTCTGTAAAATACAGTCACGTGACACAGAAACGAGTAATATTATTCTCTACATAATGCTGGGAGTTGGTAACATCAGCTAATGAATTGCTCTGTTTAACATGAGTACCTTGAGTAGCAGCGCTGTTTAACTCGTATACAAATACCAAAACCAGGATTACATTTCACTACTGGTGGACTGTCCTGCAGCACCATGGTCGGGTGATGGTGACCGCTGTGAAATTGGGATTAAAATATTTCATACAATTGCCTATTCAGTGTACTGAGTATGTCGTGTGAATTCCGTGAAGAAGAACGTTCTTGTGCTTATTTACTTGTTACAGATATGATTAATCATGAAGATTGGATTGGCAATTAACAAATTCCGTATGGTTAAGACAGTAACTTTCGAGAATTATTTATTTTAATTTCTTGTCATCTGGTAAATATTTCGGGAAGGGGTTACTTATCATTTAAGATACGCACAAGATTTATTAATTGAACTAACTGAAGAAGGTTATTTAACTGAAGTATGATAGGTTTTGAAGGATGCTATTATTAAGGGTACATCTCAGAACACTCGAAAGTTTAACGTAGAAGTTTTATAGTCTCATTGTTACAGTTAGGTACTTAAAAAAGATTCGGTTTTGAAAAACATCCTGTTATTTTTAGTAGTAATTCCGTCATTTTTGGAGAAGAAAGGTCAGTTTTTAATTAGGCTGACCGAACTTAGTGAGTTTTTCGCGGAACCGTAAGATTTCATGCTAATGGAAGATAAGGACCACATTTATAACTCAAGTATGGTAAGTTTTTCCAAATTTGACTAGTCGTTCACGGTTCGAGAAAATTTTCTGCAGTGATTATGATGAAGGCTTTAAACTGTGGGAAATAACGCTACACGTTTATAAAGAATATCGGCATACGGGGCTCAAAGAGTTTTTCACAGTTAATTTACAGCGACTATCAAATAATTCACAAGAAAATTTACTTTTAGTAAACTTTTAAAATTGTTCGCCAGAATTACAAAAATTTGCAGCTAAGGAATCTAATTTCTCCCTAAACACGTCTGTTAACACCAATCTCAAAGCTCTGCATGCAATTTGACATCGATTTGGGCGAAGATTCTCTAATGACAATGAAGTTTGATCCTCAAAGAAGGAAAGGCGTACAGAAAACTCTTGAGTCCGCTTTAAATTTCTCACCATCAAAGATATAGACTGTATAGTGTACAGTGTGGCCTTGGTTACTATGATTTCCATGGATTCGAATTCACCCTTGAAGCCCGAAAGTTTCTACGCCCCTGCCAGAACTCATTGTTCTCGAATCGAGTCTATGAGGTCGCGCCGCTGATTTCCTTCAATAGAATATCACACATATTTCAGTGCTGGATCAACACTGACGTGGCTTTTATACTGGTCTATCGGCAAGGGCTTTTTATTCAAAGTACAAAGTCAAACTTAATCTAACAGCTCTATCCGGAGAAATAAACGCTATGTTATATGACATGTACAGTGGAGAACTTCATTTCTGATTTATGATTGAGTGCGCACCTCTTTGAAGGAATATACTCCAAGATTTCTATCTATCGGGTCCTCAAAATTATCAAGTTACCACAATCGCCAACTATGCCTGAATGGAAGCACTTGAAACAACTGATCATAAGAATCAGGAGTAACAAGCTGCATTAGACGTTACAAATATGATACATTTATTAAGTAAGGGATTTCTTTATTGTGTAAAGTAAATATCATGAGTGATCAATATTTGAAGGGTTTCTCTGAATCTGTATGATCTTGCCGGATGTGTCTTCCGCTGTATATTCCACAAATTAAATACATCCTTTATTCCCTGTGGTATCAGGGAACCAAAGTGAGTGTGGTCTTCTATAATCTAATTTATATTATAAATATAGACCTTCAGCCTTCTGGAACTCGCACCTTTGACTATCTGTAGTCTAGACTTTTCTCTTTTCTTGGCTTCAAGCGAGGGGATTCCTTTGGAGAGCCCTTTCTGAGGGACTATCATTTGTAATTTATGGGGGTAAAGTAACATTACTATCCACAAGCAGGTCGTCATGTTATTTACTGAGTTAATTTCAACGACCTTTACAAAAAATAAAGGTCGTACCAGGAAGCTAACACAAGCTTAATTCATCCTCACAGCGTTCCTTAACTGAATTTCACTTTCACTTTCACTCTAACCTTTTCTCTTTCCAGATCCAACAAGTGGAGGTAATCTGGGAGCCTACAATGTGGGCAGAATGGCGAACACAATGAGCTATTCATCAAGCTCTAAACCTTGTAACCCCTTTCCTTCACCAATGGAGACCAAGGTTAGCATCCTCAACAGTTCTTAGCATGGTCCTTCATTTTCCCATATTTTGTTAAATGGCCAATGAGGTTGCCTACACTATAATATAAATTACAATTGGAGGTCCTTTATTTATGAACCAACCAGAGAACCATCCGGACCAGGAACAAAATACACAAGACAGCAGGCCAGAGTGTTACTTGTCAACAGTGAAGCCGTCAAGATTTAGTGGGGTGAACTTTATGAAACTGTGTCCAGTTTGCCCGACACGATTCTGGGCCGAATTGCGACAAAGTTAATTTGAAGGAACAGAAAATGTGTATCAATATTGTGACTGGGCAAACGCTCTGCATGCTGCGGACAGGGCTTGTTATCGACAAGGCTAATTCAGGTCACTGCAATGAGTATAAAGAGACAGGTGAAACACTAAAACGTACCGTGGAAGAGGGCAAAGGAGCCCTTTTTTATTAACTGATCTTGTCATATCAAGCGTCATCTTGCTGCATTCTGAAAGACAGTTCAAGTAGATAAACCTTTCCATAAACTAGATACAAAACAATGAGATCGACAGTGAGAGGAAGGTTTTTTTTTTTTTTGACTATTGTGATATGGAAGGGGTAGATACTAGATACCTTACATTGAGATGACAATGAAAAATGCTCGCTTCTTCAATACCGAATTCATAATGGGTTTCTCAAAGTTTTGCCATGGTAGTCTAGAAATCGGATAACGCCGTAAAACGAAGCTATCGTCCAAACTCCTGGTCCACTGATTTTTAGTGTCTAGATCTACATATCCTCACTACTCACTACTCACTAGTCTCCAATACTAACGACCCAGAGGTCTCTCTTTTACAGTCTGTCTTCACAGGTGTTCGGATCCAACAGCTACCACAACTTCTACCACAGAACTGCTCCGCAGGGCTTCCCAACACCCTCCTACAAAACGGAACCGGACCAACGGTTAGTTACTCAATAATCTATTACAACTGCTAGACACGATTTCTTACAAATTACTTCTCAACTTTTGTTGTTACCCGTGATTGAGCCAAGGATATTATACTTATAAATAAATTGGTACATGGTGTAAGTCTCAATGTCTGGCGTTTTTAGCCGGTATGTGATAAATATCCTGTCCAAATTTTCCTTTTAAATTTTGCCGATCATTATCAAACGCGTCCTAATTAACCGACCCTAATTATTGCGGATTATCCACTTATTAACACTTGCTTAATCTGCTGCTCAGCAGTGACCCAGATAGCTTCGCTCAATTACACCCCGTCCTTAGTTTGATCTAGACTCTAAATTGTAAGTTAAAGTTTAATTTTTAACTTAGACTAAGTTGTCCAGCGCATATCTCGCACTATCGTAAACTTTCGTCCTAATTTTTCGTTCGGTTTAAAAAGTCGGTCGTAGGGGTTTGCTAAGGTGAACTTGAACCCGACATAACAATTCATACTTGGGTGGAAAATTACGATTTTAAGGATTTCGGCAGTGCATGGCTTACTTTCGGACTTAAGCTTGTGATACACTCGGTGAAAGTTGGGCGCGATTAGAAATAGAAAGGGAGGCTTCAGATCTTGAATGAGAAGTCTTCAATAGCGGTTAACTAATCGGCTGATTGATTGGAAGCTTTGACAAGTCGAATCTCTGGGCTGGTGAATGAGGTTGGGACTAACGATTGTCGGCGATCGTTGACATCATGTATCTCTCTCAGAATTACACTTGTTCGGTTACAGTGCATGTATCCGTCTAATAACACGTGGTATCCGCTCTACCGTCCCCATGGCAGTCCCGTGTTGTCCCACGTGACCAAAATACAGCATGTGACGCCACTCGCAACAGTGTATAGGTTCACATGATATCCACAGTCCTGCACTGAAAGCACGCATATAGTGTTGAAATGCTGACTGTGTTTGTTTAAACCCTGAAAAGGGCACGTGACATGGTGCCCAGTCTCTATTGGTCACGTGATCTTCCTCCAGTCCTCCCAGTGGTCCGAGCCCCCTCACGCAGCTTAAACCGGGTTAACGTTATTGTTTAACCTTAATCGAAGCACGCTTGGCGCTGCCGTCCAGTCGAAAGAGATACACGTAGGTTGCCATGACAACGAGGATTGCAGTGGCAATGCAGATGCCCTATAAGATCTTCTTACTGACAGGAGTTAGAAATGAGATAAGAGAGAGCTGGCCAATGAGCGACTAGATGAGACCTGGAGACACTCTCTAGCTGCGAGGGATAACACAGGGAGGGATGAGGTTTGCTTGCACTCCCCGCTCAGCTCCGGTACTCATCTCCTCCTCTGCCATGGTGACGTCATCAACTCGGAAGAGGGTCGAGAAAAGAGCAAATTAGTGCGATGACAGGCGGCCCTGGAACAAGGACATCCTAGTAGTGAACGAGACTTTGTTGGGGTAAAGAAAAAAATTGGTCAGCAAATTCGGTCTTGAAGTTTTCTTTTTATGCCTCCCGCTTCGGGTGCCCTTACAGAAGAAATAAGCTGAGGAGATATCATAGAGTATACTAAGAGGTAGAAGAAATTGTCGTTGACGCTTAAGGCTTCTAGATTTTTGTCCACGATTGGACTCAAGACATGATAATTGATCACATACAAACTCAAAATTTAAAAGTAATCTCACAGAGCAACAGTTAAAGGGAATGGATATGACGTTTTCCTCCACTACCTTCTTTTAAAAAATTGAGGCCACTATTCTCATCTTTAAACTTTTGATAAATAAACCCTAGGTGTAGGAAGCTCACTTTTAGTCATCATTGTCAGGCAAATGTTTTTCCGATCATATTCTAAACACTCCTACCTCAACTCAAAACACTGAATGTTAACATTCAACTCTTTTCAGGGCAGCGTTTCTGAACCCTCTGAACGGATTCGGAGCAGTGACTCAGCCACACCTCACCATGATCGGATCTACCAACAAATAGCTGAGAGTTGGAGAGACAATTGTGTAGATGCAGTGTTATCTTGTATGTAGACTATTTTTGGGGTGTTGTAGAATCTACAGTCACCACGTAGATCCAGTTGAAGATCACTATAGTGACTCCGAATGTGTGTAGAATTTAGATTTACGATGATTCTTTAAGAGTTGTTAAGTCAGCGATTGGAAAGAAAAGATGAAGAGAGATAGACTAAGAACGGATTTTTGCATGAGACAGAAATGATTTAACTTGAAAACTTGTAAGTATTTTGATTTTAGTTAAATCGCCCTATTTGTGAATATTTTATGCTTCAGTTGATGAGAATTTTGATTTATGATAATATAGTTCTATGATTTTCATAGCAAAAGATGGCTCTAATTATTGTACGGCAGTCATAGAGTATAAATTCTGTTTAGCCCACTTCCAGTTCCGGAAAACTGCCCCTTGTTTCTGTGACCCGAAGTTAGTTGAAAGATAAAGTTGAATTATTGGTAACTTTATTTCATACCACTGTGCCTGACAATTTATTAGCTAACGTAGATTGGCTAATCGCTGAACAGAGGCCTAGAGGAAGTTCATGTATTTGATGACAAATTTCCTTCTTGCTTCAACTTCAAGCATTAGCAAAATTTAATATGGCACCAAACCTTCACATCGCGGATGATCATTTTTATGATCTGTCCTCCTTGTACATTCTGAATATTGATTTACTTTGGGTATTTGATAAGATGATAGCTTTTCATATTATTTCACCATTGTGGTAAGCATTTATTATTGGCCTGCAATATATTTGGGAGAGTAAATAACTAGGCCGTTAGTTGATTAACGAAGAGTGCATTTTTCTAATACACATCACTTTGCGCCGACTGCAATAAAAGTGTAACACTCAAAACATAATTTACCGTGCATTGCGTCTCATTTTATTTGAAATATATAATATATATTCTTGTAAGATTTCGAATATTTTATTTTGTTCGAATAATTTGAAGATAACATTTAGCTTCGAGAGAGAAACTGTATAAGGCATTTAAATCTTCAATTCTCGTTCGTTGATAACGGTTATTAAAAGTACTCCGGTCGATAACCGTCGGTACACACATGTATTAAATGATAGTTGGTTTTGTCAACAATAATTTTTGGATTTCTTTACCATTTCAAATTTAATCGTTTTCCTTGTTTCTGCATGGACACAGCTGATGTGGTACGAGACAATCAAATCGTACAGTACGGATGTCACCGACGTAATCGTACATTCGAGAACTATATCAGTTCATCCGGTAAAGAGATTAACTGATTAATCTTCATCACGAGAAAATTAAATTCCTGATTGCATAGTTTTGTACCGAGCCAGGCACACTAAGGATAGTTCATTATATCTGATAATGGTTCTAGATACTAGACATACTAACGGCTCCACAGTCAAATTAATAGCGTGACGTCACCAAACAGGTTAAAGAACAGTGGTCAGTAAAATGACGTATCTCGCAGGAGGAGTGTAGTTCAGTAGATATTGACGACATGTGATAATGAAGAAGATGCACAGTTTTGCACAAAACTGCAGCAGTGCTGTACAGTATATTGAATATTTCATGTTACATGATATGTTAAGATCATCTGAATTATGATGAAACTGTGAAATTTCGCTGGGGATTCCCGAAAACAGAACTCTTTAACCCCCGTTAAAACTATCAAAGTTTCTGTTCGGAAAACACAGAGTTTCTGAAAGTGAACGATATGGCAATTTGATGTACTCACGGATAGTTTAAGCTCACGGGAGAAGGTTTTCTGGAAATTTCAAACGGCTTCAAATTCCTTTAGTCAGGCCGGAACAAAAAGATTTACTGGACTATAAGTAATACTATGGCCAAATTTTTTTCTTCCGGCTTTCTTTGGGTTTTTATTATAACCCTTATGTCATATCATTTGCCGATCAGTGTGGTCGAAAGGGTCATTGATCAATATAAATTATAACTTTCCGTCATAGATATACTTTCAATTCCAAGTTAATAAGTTAACCTAGACATTATTTTAGAATAATTCCCACCAAGATGAGCATTTTTTATCTGTCAACTGATCGACTGTTACATCATGATTCCAAAAACCAATTCTTTAAATTTTGAATTAGATTTATTCCTAAATTCAAATGGTGATTCATAATAAAACAACCATATTAACTGGATATTGTTAAATGTAAACGGTTAGTCATTACTCCAAGGTTTTAACTTTTTATTCAGTATAGCCTATCAAACCTAATAAAGTTTCTAGGAATTGCAATTTGGTGGCTTCCATTGGCCTATAATTCTTTCCGACTACTACAAAAAACTCCAGATCACTATTTTACTGACCTCCCAATCTCATCAACTTTAGTCCCATTAATAATTAATTTAAGTTAAAGAAAGTAATACAAGTTATAGACAGATTATTGATAGTCCGATAAGGGCTGGAGAGTACTGACTTGCCAGTGTGAAGCGGGGCAGGGTACCAACTACCACCACCACAATAGTACTGCCTCACACAGTACGTCATATATACCCCAATAATCGTGTCGCTACTCTGTTTCACCATCTGATTGATAACCGTCAACGCCAGGCCTACTTTCACCCTATTCCACTTCCACCCAACTTCAGATTACCAACTAAACACGTGCCCATCTGTCAGGCCCACGTGCACGTCAAATCGCACGTGTCACACTCTTCCCCAATAGATGTGGCTTCACCGAACATGGGACAGGACTGTGAGGGTATGAGGGGCTAGCACGCGATGGCTGTCATCAACAAAGAGTTAAACCGAAATTTGGTCAGTGGCTTGCACGGCTTCACAATTTTAAACTCTGTTCTTTCAACTTGTATCCATTTACACCTCGTTGTAAGACAGTGTACATCTGATAAGGTGCCTGCCCATTTAGACACAACAACTTTCAACTGTCATTGTTTCTACTTTATAAGTACACGTGCCGAGTCCCTAGTATTTATTGAAACTTTATCGAAGTTCAGAGGGACAGGGGGTTGGTATGATGCTGATAGCAAAGCCGGGGTGAGCCCCGCATCTTGACGAGATACTGATACGAGACAGTGGTGTGGTAGATACAGGCGGAGACAGATTCCCTAGTAGGGAGGTGTTATAGTTCGGGCCAGGTCATACAGATATCACCACTTTATCAGCTGTAGACCGGCCATCTCAGTCACACGCACACGTCACACACGCACAGCGGTATCATATCCGCATATCGCTTCAAAACAATATTCGATCAATGTTAATATTTCAGGTTTTACAGTTTTACGAGGGAATTATATATCGAGACTGGAGAGATCATTGCTGATATGAAAATTTAAAGGGATACGTTTCAGTCATTTTACAAATCTTATCAGTATTAATCGCTTGTTAAAATTCGAAACATTTTAGTTCAGTAGTTTTACCAACAGCTAACAGTAACAATATTTTAATTGTTCCCAATTTTGATTTCTATCATTTGTCTGTTTTATTAACTGAGAGTATATCTTACAAGGAAAAACAAGCGTAACAACCAAATTATTTTACTAAATTACTTTAGGTAGGACTCATACCAAATTCAAATTCTAAAGATTTCTGATCTGTATAGACTATAGCTAGACGCCTACAATATAAGACTATAGTGTTTTCCTGTTTCAAATATGTACATTTTATTGGTTTATTCGGTTGAAATCAGGATCCAAACCAGGAAGTGAACAACACGCCAGATAATCTTCTAACAAAAGGTTCTTAAAAGTTCAATTAGTTTTAATAGTCTAATATAAATATGGGGCCGTTCACATGTTACGTAATTAGTCGTGGGGGAGAGGGGAGGGGTGGGGGTTTCTAAATTATTACGCTAGTGTAATTTTGACACAACAGCTATGTGTAAAACTGATTACGGAGGGGGAACTAGGGGTTAAAAATTGTCAAAAAAGTGATTACGTAATATAAATATGTGAACGACCCCATATATAAGTTTACCTTGTATTTTGACCCTATGTGAGCTATGAGTATAAAACTCTCGACTTTTGAAATTTTAATAAACTACTTTGCGGTACATACCAACCTGCTAGCAGATTTTAAACCAATTATTAATCAAAATGCTTTGCAGGATTCATCCAACATATGCTCAGTGACCGTATGATATAAAGTTCGTGTAAAAAAAGTGACTGCGGTCACACCAAAATTTATGATTACGAATGGTATGCTTTTATGATTCTGC